GCATGTGTGGTATTAAGAGTTACACGTATTTTTGCAAGGGTTTGCACAATTATATATGACAGAGTGTAGCACTCATGATCAAGATCAAAGAAATTGTTGATAATTCTAAATTTTTACTGCATGCAAGCTCTAATCATTGTTAAAATATAATGTCAATAATTCATGTTTTATATTTAACCAAAAGTCCATGGAAAATATAGTCATGGGAACAAAAAAGCAAACAATCATATTTTTATGACAATACATACTAAAAGATGTAAATGTAGTTCAAGACCTTTAGAGGGTTCAATACTTATAACAATGACATGGGCGCTACACCTCAAATAGGATAAGGAAATGAAACCATAAAAAGAAATTAATAAGATTTGAAGTATAAGCAGCTAGCATCAACGAATACATGTGTAAATCATTGTCCTTTAAAATTTATTAAGGTTTTATGAAAGGTTGAATTGTGTTCAATAAAATTATGCAATATAAAAAAGAATAAAGGTACAAATATATAGACTAAGTATTTATTTCCTTGGATATGTACTTTTACATGTATATATGTAGGAGACCCCCCCCCCCCAATAATACAAAATAGTAATAAAAATGAATCAGTAAACTAGCTGTCAATTCGACCCAGTAATACGGTACAGGCCAAACCATGAATAAATTACATGATGCTAAAGAGTTTTGAATATTACCTAGTTGTATTCTTAATAAAATTCACTCAAATATTCATTTTGAAGATTAATTAACTCTTCCATTTGGAAAAAGTTTACGTACATCTGAAATATTTAGATATAGCTTTGTTTTAAAAGGACTTCATCCTGACCCTCTTTTGGTAGACACAATCTGAGGCCCAAATAGGACAACTTACAAATTTTGATGATTCTAAGTCTCTTATCATCCTAAATATAGAGATGAAAGTTTGGAATTTCAAAAATAGGTCACGATGACCTACATTAGGTTGATAAACTCCGAGGACCCAAGATGCATCATCGGACAAAGTTTTATGTTGTAGGGCTCTTATTATCCAAAATATTTTGATATAGCCGTGAAATATTAAAAGCAGGCCAACTTGACCTACTTTCAGGTTGACACACTCCAAAGACCCAAGATGCATCGATTGTTAAAGTTTGATGATTCTAAGCCATTTAGTATCTGAAATATTTAAAAATATATTTAAAAATAGCTATATTCCAAAATAGATCACTGTGACCTACTTATGATTGATATACTTTGAGGTTTAAGTATGCATCACTGATAATGTTTCATAATCTTTGGCTTCACATTGTCTAAAAATATGCGTCTAATACAATTTTTTGGGATAATAATAAATCATAAATTTCAGAAAGTAGATCATGGTGACCTACTTTTTTGACACACTTTAAGGCCCCATGATGCATCAATTGACAAGATTTGATGATCATGCGCTTCAATGTGTCCAAGATACATTGTATGCATCAAAATCAATTTGAATATGAATACCTGCAAAATTCATAAAGTAGGTCACCGTGAGCCACCTTTAAGTCAACATGACATGAAGTTTTAAGATACAAAAGGGGACAAAATTTGATAATCCTAGCCCCACAGTGGGCAGAATATCAAAGTTTAAACAAAACATCAATTTAGGTCAACTTTGAAGTAAGCTTGAGAAAACGTTGAATAATTTCTTAATCTACAACATATCCTTTCCTATATATATATATATATATATATATATATATATATATATATATATATATATATATATATATATATATATATATATATATATATATATATATATATATATATATATATATATATATATATATATATATAACACCACTACTTTTGTTTTTATTTCCCAAATTATCTCCCCTTGTTTATGGGTCCCATCCTTATTTTTAGTAAAATGAAAGCCCTTGGACCAAGGATACTCTTTTAACAAATTTTACAAAAATGGGTAAGGTGTTCTTGAGATATGGCCCATATTCCAAAAAGTTGACCCACACCGTACAAATGGTCATAGCATTAGCTCTTTGAGCCTTCGGGCCAGAAGAGATAATAAGTAAAACCAATCCCCTAATATGAAATGCATGATAAAATTGGAATGTTTGTTATATGAAACTATTTACATTTGTTTTCCATAACATAGCAGAAACCTAGCAGTTTTCAGAACACAGTCATGCTTAAAAGATTTGTTCCTTATTATCGGTTTACAAGTTAAACATGTCAACTTTCAATTCATGTATTTTGAAATATGCTTTAACACTCATATTTTATATATATATATATATATATATATATATATATATATATATATATATATATATATATATATATATATATATCTGAAATATGCTTTAACACTCATATTTTATATATATATATATATATATATATATATATATATATATATATATATATATATATATATATATATATATATATATTTAGTCATGTTAATATTTACAAGAAATAATACACAAAAGTACAAATACCATTATTTCTGGTTCTTATTATAAACATGATTTTAAGAGTATGTTGTACATTATACTGGCTGTCTTATATCTGTGAACAATGGCGTTTTTGTCTTTTCAAATTGTTTAAGAAATGCATATACTGTACACCAGATCACTTGTTATAAAAGTCTATGTCGAAATAATTTACTTTCATATATTTAATCTTAAATTCAAATTATATGGTAAAAACGCCTCAGAAAAGGTTCTTTAGATGCGCAGTGTCCGGATCAAAAACGATTTTCTTTTTAAAAATTTTTGAATTTGAATGATTTTGTGTTTTTAAAGTAGTCAGAAACTATATAAAAGTTTATTGTGATATAAATAAAACAGCTGATATCCATTTTGATGTTGTCGCTAAAAAAGATAACAAGAGTAAGCGCGTAATTTTTTTCTACAGTAGTGAAACCGTTTACTCCCGTACTTACTTGACATAAAAATTATATAAAGTAGGATTAAATACGTTAAATCGTATACGAGTTTTGATTGATCTATTGATTGAAAAACACAATGCATAAAAACCTAAACAAGTGGCTTGAAAACCGGTTCTAACCGGCGTTTACCGAGAGAAGTGGTTTGCATAAATATTAAGGGAGATCTTCAGTGGATGTTACATACAGAAGATCAACGTCTTCAATTCTGTGTCATTTGGGAAAAACACTAATGGAGATTAAAAAGAAAATTAAATCAAAATGGAGTTATGATATTTCCAGTTCATTAATTTAGAAGAGGCCCTGGGACCACATAACCTGAGCCTTTTGGCTAGGAGAAAGCTGAAATCAATTCAGTATTGAAAAGTTTACATATTAAAGTGGTTGTGTTGGGGGGGGGGGGTATGATTTGAATCTACACTTCCTGCGGATGCTTTTGAATTAATATGATACATAATGGTTTTGCTGTTCTTAAGATAAACGTTTTATTCATATATCTTTTATATTTCTTTTATATTCCTTTGTATAACTATGATCCCCTTTTATGGCTTCTCTTTTCTCCTGGGAGTGTTTTTATACCATTATGAACAATCATGGCCTTGTTGTTTTTTTTTGAAGAATTTTAAAGATTTTTCCTATATAAAACTTCGATTACCATCTGTGGCCCAACTCTACCACCCGGGGATCATGATTGAACGAATTCGAATCTGGAATGCTTCCATATAAATATGTCTAATCATTGCTTTGCTGTTTTTAAAAAGATTTCTAAAGATTTTTTTTCTTATATTTTTTCTATGAAATCCTATGTAAAACTGATCCCCATCATGGCCCCACCCTACCCCCTGGGGCAATGATTTGAACAAACTTGAATATACACTTCCTGAGGACGCTTCCATATATATATATATATATATATATATATATATATATATATATATATATATATATATATATATATATATATATATATATATATATATATATATATATATAAAGATCTGAAAAGATTTTCCCTATGTATTCATACGTAAAAATTTGATCGCCCATTGTGGCCCCACCTTACCCCGAGGGTTATGATTTGAACAAACTTGAATCTACACAACTTACGATGCTTCCAAATAAATATGACCACGACCAATCATGCTGTTCTTGAGAAGATTTTGCTTATGGATTCCTAGGTAAAACTTTTATTCCCCATTGTGGCCCCACCCTGCCCCCTGGAGTCATGATTTGAACAAATTTGAATCCACATTTCCTTACAATGATTCCTCATATGTTTCATATTTTCAAGCACAGTGGATTTTTAAATGATGACATTAATTTTTCACGAAATCATACTAATCTCCCCTTAGAAGAAGGGGTGTCTCTTCATTTGAACAAACTTGAATTCCCTGTTACCAGAGTATAGTTTGTGGAAAGTGTGGGTGAAAATGACTCAGTGGTTCTTGAGAAGATGAAAATGTGAAAAGTTTACATCGACGACAGACACCGGACAAATTTCGATCAGAAAAGCTCACTTGAGTCTTCGGCTCAGATGAGTTCACAAGTGGTATAAACATTTTTTGTTGTGTACAATTTTTGACACACATGAAAAAGAGGAAGACCTCTGTAAAATGCTGAAAATCCGACATCCCTTATTCAAAGCGTTATCATAAGCTTACATGTATCATCGTCTTGAATATACAAGGTATTTCTGCTGACAATGTTAAACGTTGTAGAACAGTGGATACTGCTTTAGGCAATTTTCTATAGTATTTATTAAAATATTAATGTACGCGTACATTCATATCATCGTTGTTATAATTAAGGTATGTATCCAAGAACTTTATCGACAGTCCTCGTAGTGCAATTCTAAGCACATATAATTAAACGGAGTATAATGACACAAATGTGATGAAGGTATAGAAAGAGATCTAGAACAGATAATTTAAGAAATCAATTGAAGTTATTATTATACCTATATGACAAGAATTAAATTTCCACGAACTGCATTTTTTCGCAAATAAGTGCATGAAATAAAAATACATGTAAATTTACAAATCAATAATATGTAATTCGAATTGGAACAACAGTACTGTACACTACTTTGAGATATCCGTAATACACAAAATTGACAAAGATAACATCTGTTCACGTATATATCAACTCTGTATAAGGTTCAGGAAAGGAAGTTCACCAAAACAAAACACATTATTTTAATTCTGATTGATATCAAGCGAACTTCCTGATGACTTTGTTTGAAATTCATTTTTAAATTCTTGAACTTGAGTCTTTAAATTTCCTACTTCTGCTTGAACTTGACTTCTCAAATTTCCTACTTCTGTTCTCAAATTTTCAGTTTCTGTTTGAAATTGTGTTCTCAAAGTTCCAATTTCTGTTTGAAATTTTTCGTTCGTTTCCTTCAAACTTTTAACGTCTGTTTGCACATTGTTTAATGAAGACTGAATGCTCCTTTGTTGATTTTGAACATCGGTTATTGATGTTTGCATACTCGTTACTGACATTTGCAATTTCAACAGTATTTGTTCTAAATTAACTTCGGATGAAGCATTACTTTGCTGGGCTAACTCTGACTTTGAAGGATTTCCCGACGCTATAGGGTTGTTTCCAGAGGCAACTAATGAAGAAGATGGCTTTAATTCGCGACGGAGACCAAATGAATCTAATATTCGAACCATTGGTGTTACAAAACAGGACCCTTTAGAGGTGGAGCCTATAGCCATCCCAATACAGCTAAGTGTCTTATCTGGGTTGATACAAAAGACAAAGGCTCCAGAATCACCAGGTTCAAAAAATATTCCATGAGGTAGGCTTTGAATTTCAATTTGGTTGCACATATGAACAGGTGTTTTATCAGGCAATTCTCCTGTTTCATTTACAAAACGGATATGCGCTCCATTAAAGTAGAGACTTCCAATCGTGAATCCCGTTTTACTTCCATATTTAATGACACTGTCTAATTTTCCAGGAATTCTGCTGCTTACTGTAGGATCTGGCACATTAACAACCTCCCCAGTAAATACGGGTGGCTTATTTGGGTCAAATCCTGGAATCAAAATAAAATTCTTTAGAGTAATAAATTTAATGATATTGTAATGCTCATTTCATTTATTTGTCATGTTTGATAATGACAAACACAAAAATATGTTAAAGAGAAAAATTAGAGATAATGAAACCTGATGGATACTTGAGTATCACGAGTATCTCACGACAGAACACAGTCAGCCTTATATTGGAATAGGATTTTTTGACTTACATGCACATGTAATTTACAATTTGTTAAAGACTGTTTTCACTATCATAATCGTGAAACTTGATTAATTCAACAGTGCGTAGTCCTTCATTGGATAATTTCCCAAGATACATTTAAGATTCCTTGCACGATTGGCTAATATTGAACAATGGCTCTTCGAAAGACTTCAAAATTGTCAAGCTGTGGAGGCAAACTGAAACTAGAGGTACTGAAAACACTGACCTCAATAAAGTGCATCGCCACATTATATTATACGCCCTTCAAATATTGTCCACTTATCATTAACAGCTTTGAATGCAAGAAAACAACAATTATTAGAATAATAATTGTATTTATGTATTTAATGCGGGTATTTATGTAGAGGATTCTATAAGAATTAAATGCTTGTGAACTTCCTTTATTGTAAAAATTTTTTAGATCCACGCACTGGCCATTGTACTAATAAATTTCGCCTAGCCAAGCATGGTATAACGTCACGTGGTCAGCTTAGCGAGTCAGTTGTATTTTGATACCCGCACGCTGACCACTGTTTACACGAGGTACGTCTAATTTGAAGACATTACAACTTCATGTGATCGTTATAGTCATCCAGGGGGCGTGCTTTCTTATTCTGTCGAGTACCAGACGTTTAAAAGAAAAGCAAAAACAAGAGTACTGTCGAGTACTGTCACACTTTGCGCTGTTTGAGTGTATTTTATTGTTTGCTTGACCGATAGTGTTGGTGGTAGATGTGCGCGGGTCATACACTATTCTCTTTAGAGAAGTGGACAGGCTTTCGCTTACATCCACTTCTCTTCGCAAGCCTTCATGTTTTGATTCTGGAAATCGTGTAAATCTCGAACCGGTGACGGTCTACACTTCAACTGACATTTCGTCTAAGATACGTTCTTTTATTAATGACATAAATGAAGTATTATATTTGTTATAGTCTGCTATAAAGTGTATCATGAAAAAATGTATATATTTTCATAAGGATAATGCAATGCAATGCTCTTGCATCTGTTAGGATTGTGTAACTTAAGAGTTAAAACATATTTTCTTTAATAAAATAACCTTAATTAAAAGTCACAGTACATTTAGGAAGGATGCGACACACCTTCTTTCTAAAATGAATTAATTGACAAAGATTGATAATTTCAGATCTAATAGTTTTCCAGTTATTAGCTGATCAGGAATTTGCCATATTTGGCCATATCATCTTACTCAAAAGTCACAGGGACCTACTTTTAATGTGTGACACACCTTCTACCCAAGATACCTTAACAAAAAATACTATAGTTAACTATAGTAAATCAAAGTATCAAAGTGATCACCATAGTAAATCAAAGTTTTCAAAGTGATCGTTATAGTGTCAAAGTTATCACTATAGTAAATCAAAGTTTTCAAAGTTATCTCTATAGTAAATCAATGTTTTCACCATATTTAATCAAAGTTTTCATAGTGATCACTATAGTAAATCAAAGTTTTCATAGTTATCACTTTAGTAAATCAAAGTGTCAAAGTTATCACTGTAGTAAATCAAAGTTTTCATAGTGTCAAAGTTATCACTATAGTTAACTTTAGTTAACTATAATAAACTATAGATAACTATAGTTTTTTTTTGGTTAGGATAAGTTTGAATATTCTAGACCTCAGAGTATTTAAGTTATGAGCCAGACACGAAAAAGCTAACAGACAGATAGACGGATAAACGAACGGACGTGAACGCCGTATCATAGTACATACTGCCTTAAGGCGAGCGTATAAAAAATAACCCCTCCCCACATATGGCTATTATGACAAAGTATGTTTGTTTTTTGGAGAGCCAAGATATCTGTCCAATCAAAATGTAAATTAGACTTTTTATTAGTGGTATAGGAAGAGTTGCAGATAAGAGATGGATAACTTCTGCATAATAGAAAGAATGGCACTGTCCATCTGTTGCTACTGGAAACCCCGAATATGTTTCCGATAAAAAAGTAAAATATATAGGAGAAGCACAATGACATTTTGTCAATTAGATTTTAAAAATCGATTCAACTGCATTCAGTGGGGTAAGGAAAGTTTCGGATAAAGAATGGCTATCCCAAAGTGTAACGGACAGACGGATGTACACCCCTGTCACTATATTCCCCCGTTTTTCAAGCGAAAGGGGTAGAAAAAACTAGCAAAGTATGTACATATGTCAACAGAGCTAGCAAAAATGTTTGCAAAGAAAGCGCATTAAAGAGTTTGCAACAAAGGCACACCAGATCAGGGGTGGTCATCTGAAATCTAAACAAGTAATGTTATATCTTTCTAAAAATATACTTTCAACATACCTGCTGAATATAGTTGATTGGCAAGTGTTAAGGGAAATCCAAATTCGTTCACAGCTGGGTCAAGTTTTATCAAAGCAGCATCAACTGAATTGTTATTAGATGATAATGGAAAACATTTATCCACAATGTTACCACACACTTGAAAATTATGCTGATTTTTATCAAAGAATTCTACTTTTAAATCAATACCATTGCCAAGTACATACTTCTGTATTTCACTATTCGGTATTATCAATTCATCTGTTGAAAACACAACATGGGCACATGTTATTAAACCAACTGCATCATTTTGCAAATCAATAAAACCCCCAATGCTTCCATTTCCAGGCGTGTTTATTCCTCTGGCACGACGAATATGTCCTCCAAAGTCTATTGACCTACCACTTCCTAGAAAACAAAATCCCTCCTGCACGTCTACTCCAAAGCCATGGATTTGTTTTGGAAACTCTCTTTCTCCAATAGGAATATATCCTTTATGTAAACATAATAGACTAATGCATGGTTTTTCGACAACCCTATGCTTTCCCTTTAAATATCCCGTTGATTTAAATGGGGATGCCGATATGAGAGTGAGGTTGGAATGCTTTTTAAAAAGCTTTCTTGCATCTTTTTCTGTAATTGCAGGCAAATTTATCGCGGAGCAAGAAGCCACAAAGGAATTAAAGACAGTATATGCTTCATCAGATGGTTGTGTATAGTTATACAGTACAATATTAACCCCCATGGCTTTCTCCGGAATTCCATCTTTCATTTCAATGATACCTTTGTATGACATCATCATCACAAGCCTACTTTCTTGACTGCAGTCATAACATAACGATAGACTGATCGTATTTTGTTGAAGCCTTGGGCATTTGCTTAAAAGCATAGATTTCGCTGTTTGCAAAAGTGTGTCCAAGACAACAGAACTTATTTCTCTACCTTTAAACAGTTTTTCCAAATTAAAATCGAATTTGAGAAAATATGACCTTACAAGCTCTAAAACTAATATGTGGTTTTCATTTTCAAAAGCGTAATCCATGCAGAGATCAATAAACAAAGAAATTTTTCTCTTTGTGAACCCTAAAACGGCTTCTTTTGTATATGCAGCAAATAAAATAGATAAAATGAGTCGACATTTCGCAGATTGTGTTTTTCGGAAGACATTGTTACAGTTCACCATCCATTCTAAAAAATCAACTCTGGACTGAGAGAATGGTTCAAAACTTTTACTCTGCTTTTCGGCTTTACTAAAATCAAGACCTGAACAGTGAAGGTAATCAACTCTCTGTATGATGTCCTCATATTCAGTACTTTTCCTCTGATATCTTGGATATGGCTGACGATGAGTAGTTTCAATATTCAGACAATTCATAAGTCTTTGAATTCTTAATTCATTTTCTCCACTTTTTCTGAGTTGTTTTAGTTTTTTGTCCAAAGGCAACAGTTTTTTCTCGAGGGAAGTCCTCTCTGCAATGGAATGATTGGAAACAATATAGTAATTCCCTTAATAAAGGATAACTATCAGAAGGACACTTGTCACACGTTTAAGACATGTTGTATATAAACCTAAGGAGAAATGTTTTAGGTTTAATTACATTGATTCATTGAATTAGAGGGAAAATCAAAATCCAAGCGAGATCACATCAATCGTTAAACTTTAAAGGTCTTGAAATGAGAACACGAGGCTCAAGGGCCTTATGTCACCTGATTATAATACAACACAGTAAAGGATCCATAAAAAAAATGATAAATGATAAAATCTGATAAATGAAGATACATGCACGTTGCCCCAAAGCAAGGACAAATAAGGTGGTCAGGGATCAGCAAAATATATTATACCCTGTAACAAATCATAAAGTATATCTTTTCACTTGCCTGTACTTATACATTCTGAATGGTCACTATCACCAAAGAGAATAAACAAAACTATAGTGCTTGTGCACTTTCATTTCATATTTGCCTCTCTAGGTCTTTGAGGAACTTTTAACGTACAGTACATGTACAAATATAAGATACTTTTTCTCATTTTTATTCATCTGTTATTAACAAGTTTACCTGATTAATAAAATATAAAAGTACTTTATAATTTTGTATTATGCATATTTTTGGGGGGTTTAATTCTTCTATTCAATTTATCTGTCAAATTCATTATTTTTTGTGATTAATTAAAGTCCCTGAAACGTTCTACTTTCCCACTTGAACGATGAGCGAACGCTGAACGAACGATGAGTAAAAGCTGAATGCATATTGGTGAACGATTGGTAAACGGTGAACGGTGAAAGAATGTAGAACGCGAACGTAGCGCAAATGCTAATGCAAAGTGAACGGTAAACGTTGAACGCAAGATGAACGATTTATTCAGAATGCATCTGATCTTTTCCTTCCGTTGTATGCATTCTATTTTCGATGCATAGATAAACAAAAAATAGATAAATCTCATGAATTAATAAATTTTGAAGTACCGAAATTACCAGACGATATATATATATATTTTTTTGATCTGAACACTTCCAGAATAAATACAGGTATATAAAAATAAATAATAATAAAATTAATTAATTAACTAACAGAAGTTCCCGCATTGTCCCATGATTCTTGCACATTATTTATGTTTCTTACATTATTTTCCGCACATATTTATTATGTTGAAATTAAGCTGTTAAGTCACAGAAAATAGATCGCTGTATGTTTAAAACATTGCAATGATATCGAACTCTGTAATTACAATACCGAAAATTATTCTGTAATTTACATATGGTTATTCATATTTCGTCTCTAAAACCATTACTAATGTTGTAGCTTTTAGAAGAGGAAATGGCCGAAATATGGAATGAATTACAAACATACATATATTTCCGTACAAAGGCGATTCTGTTTGAAATAATAGAAAAATGTTACAACTAGAAATACTTTGCCTAGGTCTATGGATGTATCGCTTAAATATACATGTGTTCTAATATTTACATACAATATTATATACTTATGTGAAATATTTTTATTGATCATTTATCAGAAATACTACTATCCTTAGATCACCCTCCCCGTAATCATATTGGGACAAGATGGTACGTGATACGGAGAGAGAGAGAGGGCGAGAGAGAGAGAGAGAGAGAGAGAGAGAGAGAGAGAGAGAGAGATTCCCCCTTCCCACAATGCGTACACTGTATCAAACAAAAATTCCTAAGTTGTATATTTTTATTAATTACACACTTAATAATAGATACAGTTTTTTTGCTTGCATATGTGATATGCCTGACGTCATAATAGCCATATCATCACGGATCCTGCAGGGCTGATATGGATCTGCAGTGTGATACGGATTTATATCACACGCCTAGTAGATTAAATCTTTAAAATAGTACTTGTAATAATACACTTCATTGTTCAAATTCTCTTACTGTTCTTTGATATAATAAGCTACATGTCAGTAGTCAGTGCATGATTATTTATTTGCATTTTTCTCAATTTGATGTGTGATGAATTTTATTACTAAGTATGTAATAAACATAAAAAACAAACCCTTCTCCACAACACATTCAGTATCAGCCCTCGACCAATATCACCCCTCGGCCTTCAGTCCTCTGGCTGCTATCGGTGTCATGGGCTGTTACAGGATGTGATATGGAGAAGGGTATATATTATCCTCTTTATATCAGGCAGTGTTATTAAAAAAGTCTTTATTAATAAATCTGTTTGTTTTGACATCAAAGTTTTTTTTTCTGCTTCAAGTTCACACGAAGCCCATGTGCTTGTCCTGTCAATCAAAGTGTTGCCGTGTAGAGGACGAAGTCCTAGTACTTCCAAGAAGTTTTATGCAGTTTCCTCATCATTTCTAGATCAGAAACCATCATTTATTTAAAAAAAAAACTAGATATATGTCCATAGGACATGAATGCCCCGCCGAGGATATATTAGTAATGCAACATGAAAATTTGTATGAGGGTATAAAATTTGATGAGAATATCTTGAATAGTTTCTTTAAAATTGAAATCTTAAAAGTTGGATATGGATGATAAATTCTCACCAAATTATGTATAAGTGCATAAGCTTACATAAATATATCTAAAATGGTTTCTTTAAAACTAAGAAAAATGCAAATTTAAGAAAAGTGAAGTCAACGTCACAGGAAAATTCATGGTAAAACATTTTTGATGCAGTTGAATAGTTCTCACAAATACGTATCAGCATATCAAGTTTGATAAAAATATTTTGCATGGTTTATTTAAAACTGAGCTAAACACTTATTTAAAATAAATGAATTTAAGGTCAAAGGAAAGGTCAAGGTCAAAAATGTTGATACAGTTGAATACCTCTCATCAATATCTATCAACATATGAAGTTTGATGATAATATCTTAAGATAAGATAAGATAGTTTCTTTGACACTGAGCTTTGAACTGAGCTGAACGCAAAGCGCGACGGAAGGACAGAAGGACAGAAGACGGAAGACGGACATGACAAATACTATATGCCCTAGCCATATTCATGGCGGGGCATAAAAAAGAAAATACATTGCACACTTGCAATGATTAAGATGCATAAATTTGATACACACTTTAAGCCATTTTCAAATACCACTGCCGGTGTAACGTTGAATTTTGACCCGTGTTGAAAACTGACCCGCTGGGTCTTTTTTCAACGTTGAATATTAAAACCATCAGCGTTGAATGCAGACCCCAGACTGTTGAAAATTGAGCCGGATCGTTGGATTTTGATCATAAAACCAGATCAAAATTCAACAGCATAAAAACACATCAAATTAAAATGACGTTTACAGTTATGATCAACTGATTCAAAAATTACTCATGTATATAACATATGGATATATTTAAATTTCAGCGTGTCCGTAGGAACCAGGTGAGGGGGGCTTGGTGACTGTTTCCTTTTATACATACGAAAAGGAAAACAAAGCTAAAAAAAAAAAACTCTGTTGAACTTTCTTTGGTCGTTTTGCTTGTCAATGAACTTTTGTTCAATTGTCCCCACCCCATTCCAACCCACAACCCCCCACCCCACCCCCAAAAAAGTAAAACTGATTTTTTTCTTTCTACTGAGCTGTTCACTGCATATATTTTCATTCTTGAGATTACAATGAATACTGATACATGTTCAATTCTAAATGGTCAATTTATACTAAACATGTAGCACTTTAGAAAGGAAGGTCTCGAATTTTCTAAAGACCTATGGCAAAAATCATATTATTTTATTTAATTTCTAATCTGCACAAAGAAAGCTTTAATATGCAATCAATATTGTACTATTTTCACTTATATGTAGCGAACGTTTCGCATACATGTATATTCATCTTGGACAGTACTAGTATTTTTATATACCGGTGAAGAGATGATCTACAAAACTTAATGAAAAAAAAAGGAAATATAACCAGATTCTTACTTATTGAATACTGTTTCCAGCTTGAAAATTGAGAGCTACTTCTATTAGTTTTACACAACAGCTTTAGCCGTTGTATATTATTAAGACTCTCCATACTTAATGCACCCCACAGTTAAAAAAAATGACACCTAATTTTTATTTTGTTATCGTTATTCAATTCTTTCAACCCTTTCTCGTTTACTTTTCATTAATTCATCATATAAAAATTTTTGGTTTCCTATGACTGCCAAAACATATGAAATGAAATCAGAAATGAAAAGGGCACATACATGGTCTAATTAAAATACTTTAGATCTGAAATCTGGTAATCTTTCTCTATGAAATGAAATAATTGAGAAAGAAGTAGCCCTTTCCACGGTAGTTTATAAGCTGAGGCATAGGTTAGATCACTCGACTGAATTTTCCTTACAAAATATACCGGTATGCATAATTTTCAACCAAAATGAAAAAGGTGGAAATAACGAACAGTGAATGACCTCAAAATTTTCAAAAAGTGTTCTTGACAAATTTTCCAACAAGACGTAAAACACGGACCCCTGGAAACTCCAGAGATTGAATCAGATGACCATTTTAATTTACCTGATCATTCTATTTTGTCAATGAAAGTTAGAATTCTTGAAAAGATTTACCACCACACAAACAGTCCATCACTGAGTACACCTTTCCGTAGACAACGAGAAGAATTTTGGATAAGAAAGCTAGGGACAGCCTTTCC